AGGGAACAACAAACAGCAGGGCCTACTTGAGGGTAAGATGGGAGGAGGGTGAGGACCGAAAAAACTACCTATCGGGTGCTATGCTTATTACCTGGGTGATGAAATAATGTGTACACCAAACCCTCACCATTGCTGAAGAGACTGGCGGCTAAATAGAGCAGTGGGTGAAATGGTCCCTGAGTGACATGTTAGGTCTTTGTACATAATTTAAAATAATGTGGCAATATTAATTTTAAAAAAAGAGGAGTGCAGGAAGAGCCAGAGAGAGACAATGTGAGGATGGAAGCAGAGACTGGAGTGATGTGCTTTGAAGATGGATGAAGGGGCTTCGCACAAAGGAATAAAGGGGCGACCAGAAGCTGAAAAGGCGAGGAAATGGATCCTCTTATCAAGGCTCCAGGAGGTACCAGCCCTGCTGACACCTTGACTTTATCCCAGTGAAGCTGATTTTGGAATTCTGGGCCCCAGAAGTAAAATAATAGTTTGGGGTCTGTTTGTTTACTTGTTTGATTGTTTGTTTGTTTGTTTGAAATGAAGCTTCACTCTTGTTGCCCAGGCTGGAGTGCAGTGGTATGGTCTTGGCTCACTGCAGCCTTGACCTCCTGAGCTCAACTGATTCTCCCGCCTTAGCTTCTCAAGTAGCTGGGATTACAGGCATGTGCCACCACATTCAACTCATTCTTTTAACTTTTTATAGAGAGGGAGTCTTGCTATGTTGCCCAGGCTAGTCTCAAACTCCTGTGCTCAAGCAATCCTCCTTCCTCAGCCTCCCAATATATTCTGGGATTACAGGTGTGACCCACCACACCCAGCCTACATTATCTTTTCTTACTCAGTCCCTCCTGCCTCCCTCTAAAAAGGATCCCTGTGATTACATTAGGCCCAGCCAGACAGTCTAGAGTAAACTTCTCATCTCAAAATCCTCAACTTAATCCCACCTGCAAGGTCCTTTTTACCATGTAAGGTAACAAATTCACAGGTTGTAAGGATAAGGACCTGGACATCTTTTGGGGGGGCATTACAACCTGCCACAACACCATGATCTGTAACAGCCTTGCAATGGGTCAGGCCCTTCACTGACTCCCAGTCACACACTCACTGACTCCTTATAGTAGCCCCAGGATGAGAGGAGTGCCATCAGGCCCATTTTACAGATGAGAAGACTGAGGCTCGGAAAAAGGAAGTCAGTTTGCCCAAGTCACACCAAGGCTAAGAGACCAACGAGGATTCAAACCGCGTCCATCTAACTCCAGATCTGGTTTTTTTTGGGCTGTGCTATTGTGTCCTGGGTGCTGTGTTGAAATATGCTGTTTTGGCCGGGCATGGTGGCTCACGCCTGTAATCCTAGCACTTTGGGAGGCCAAGGTGGTGGATCACTTGAGCTCAGGAATTCGAAACCGGCCTGGGCGACATGGTGAAACCCTGTATCTACAAAAAATACAAAAACTAGACCAGGCGCGGTGGCTCATGCCTATAATCTTAGCACTTTGGGAAGCCAAGGTGGGCACATCACTTGAGGTCAGGAGTTCGAGACCAGTCTGGACAACATGGTGAATCCCCATCTCTACTAAAAATACAAAAAAATTAGCCGGGTGTGATCTCAGCTCATTGGGAGGCTGAGGCAGGAGAATCTCTTGAACCTGGGAGGCAGACGTTGCAGTGAACTGAGATCGTGCCACCGCACTCCAGCATGGGCGACGGAGCGAGATTTCATCTCGAAAAAAGGAAAGAAAGAAATGTGTTGTTCAGTATTTACTATGGTCTGTTCAGCTGTTGGACGGCCAGATGCTACGTGTTGTGTTGAGATATTTCTGGGTGAGATTGTAGAGTTGTCAGGCACTGCATGTGATTTTTGCATTGTGTCATCTGCTGGCTGCCAACGTTGTTGCATTGCTGCATAGTGTGTCCTTTGTTCTGCTGCCTTGACTGTATGTGTTGTGATGCCACATCGTGTGTTCTGTGCTGTCTGCTGGGTTGCTGTGTACTAGCGTGTGTTGTGTGGCAGGATTATGTAGCGGTATGCTGGCATTACGTGTTGGTGTGTGGTTACCGTGTCTTGGGATGTTTCCGGGCTGGCTATTAGGTCACTGCGTGTCGTGTGTTGGCATGTACTGTGATCGTATTTGCTGGGTGTTCTGTTGCCCTGTGTTGTTGTGTTCCGTGATGCCTGATGATTGCCTTGTGCTATGTCGCGTGCTGTGTGTGTGTTGCCAACCTGTTCTGTGGTTGGGCGTTGTTGCTGTCGATGTGCTGCAGGAAGCTGTGGGTTCGGTGCTGTCTGTGGCATTGACAGATGCTTTTGGGGTGTTGTTAAGCAGCATGTTGTGACCATGTGCCCGTGTTTGCACCGTAAGACACGTTGCCATGGTTGAGTCGGATGTTGTGCAAATTAATGGTGTTGCTGCATGAGGTCTGGTGTGCTGCACATCGCGTCTTCCTGACCCATTCCATTCTTCACCCTCAGGCGAGCCCTTTGACCCCACGTTTGTGCTGAGTCGCTCACGGTCCAACATTATCTGTTCCGTGCTCTTCGGCAGCCGCTTCGACTATGATGATGAGCGTCTGCTCACCATT